CCCGGCTGCGCTCTTCCTCCTGTCTGAGATTTTCACTGTTGTGAGCATTTCTGTTGAGGATTGGCAGCGAGGGTGGGGTGGGGGTGTTTGGTTTTTATTCCCCCCCGTCTGCTGGGTGGTTGCAGCAGATTTTGGTCACTTCACATGACCCTGGGACAGTGTGACCATCATAAATATGAATCAGTTGCCAAGCATCTGAATGTAAATCACAAGATCCTGGAGATGCTGCAACATTCCAGCTGATTGGTGCTTCTTCTGGGCTCAGCAGACGTGCCAGAATCAGCGCCAAGCTCCAGCTGGAGCCTGGCGCTGATCCTTGCGCTTCCACTGAGCCCTGACAGCCCTGAAGAAGCGCTGATCCTGGTGCTTCTGCTGAGCCCTGACAGCCCTGCAGCTCCAGCTATCTCTCGCTCAGGCTTGTGCAGTGCTGCCATCGGTTCAGCTCATTCCCCTCCCCTGCTACCACTTTTCTAGGATGGTTGCGTACCACCTGCCAGGTGCCAATGTACCACAGGTGGTACCCATACCACTGGTTGAAAAGCCCTGAGCTAGAAAACTAACAGCCCAGGGTGAACTCCTTGCCCGAACTCCTGCCCTCTAGAGTTAGAAAATATGCAAATGTGAGTAGATGAATAGATACCACTTGGTGGGAAGGTAACAGTGTTCCATGTGCCCTGATATATAGTCATGCTGGCTACATGACCATGGAAATGTCTTTGGACATAGGCTCCCTCTGCTAAGAAACGGAGAGGAGCACTGTCCCCTAGAATAGGACATGACTGGACAGAGGAAACCTTTATCTTTATATCCATCCATATTTTTAAAAGTACTTTTTTATGAAAGAATTGATTTGTTTTCATTAAAATGCTGAGGCGGCCAAAGAAGGTAACACTTCCTTATATAAATTCCAGCAAGCAGCATCCGAACATCAAGTGCTTTGCCATAATTGCAGAATCTCCCTCCTTCGTTATGTTTTACAAAGCTTCTAGTGTCAAGTAAAAAAAAACTTCACATTGCCATCAGCTTCCAAATCAGCTTATTCAATATCATAGAAAATAAATTTGTATTTCTCATGATGCCATTATAATTACAATAGCAAACCCAAAGGACACATCTACAAATCAAATTTAAGCGCCTTTTTAAAAATTAACTCTAGTTTGTGGAGTCCTAAATATGCAGAAATGTAGTGAATCTGTTTCTGGTATTTCCTGGAGAGAAGGAAGATATCTGTTTACTCAAAACAGTAACAATATCTAAAATTTCCAAATGTGTTGAAGAATTATAAAGGCAAATACGTACAAACACTGATATTCACAACACACTTTTAAAGCATCTTCAATAACATGTCTTATACAAGAATGCTTTACAAATAATCAATTCCATTATTTGGGTGCAGTGATAGTAAAAAAGTACTACTCAAATAACATAAACTTCAATTTTTGTACAAGGGTCATAGTATTAAAGAATTAGGAACATATCATTTAGTGAGATCCATGAATCATGGGTAACTAACGTATAAATGGAGATCAAAGCTAGTTCATAGAGAGCCAGTTTTCAAACATAATGTTTAGGAGTGTGGATTTTCCTTGAATGCATGCTTGTAACTACATGAATTCAGTGAAAATCAGGAAATGAATAGAAAATCATAGAGCTATGGATAGCTGCAAGCATTCTCTCAGTCTTGATAGAAAGCTTATTCAAAGAAAAGTATCCCTTGAGTTGAGTTTAACTCCCGGTGACTTCATCGTTGAGTTTGACTGGTGGTTAATTATTTCCAACTTTCCAGGGTCTACAAATTTGAAATTTCTTGATGATTTTTTATCCAAGTACTAATCAGGTCACATCCTGCTTAGATTTTTTTCTAATTCATCCAATTAATTATAGGAAGAAAGTATTTGACATAGACATTGCAAATATAAGCTGTAACTTTTAAATTTTAACCAAAAGCATAAAAATAATATTAAATAATAGTTTTATCTTTTATCAAAGCATTATCTTCCCTTTTTCCTAAATACCATTACTAGGTCTATTTGTATACTATGTTCAGTCATAGTTAATATAACCATGCTCTCTTGAACAAACCATCACTGGCAGGTCAAGCGACGCTTTCACAGGGGTTGCTTAAGACCATCGGAAAACACTTATTTCCGATGGTCTTTAGAAACAAGACACCGCTCCTTTATCCGGCCCTCCTCCTCCTCCTCCGCCTCCAGGGCGCTCTTCTCCTCTGACAGTGCCTGCTCCTGTCACTGCAGCTGCCATCGCGCATGCCTGACACCACCCTGGGCTGGCTCAGCAGCTGGTCCGAGCCGAGCTGGGTCTGGGCCGCTGCTGGCGCTGCCACTGGGCTGCTCTGCCGCTGCCGGCTGAGCTGAGCTGCAGTGCCGAGCTGGGCTCCATGCCTCCTGGTTGCCTGGCCACGCTCCACCCCTGGCCACTCTCCGCGCCATGTGGGAGCCTCCCCTGCGCCGCCCGGCCAGCCTCCCTCACCGTCAGAGGCCGCCTCGGCCCTCTGGCACCCGGTGCGGCTGTGGGGTTGCCAGGCAGGAGCAGCTCCTTCCCAGCTCGCGGGGCTCTGGGCCTCGGAAGCGGCCAGGGGGCGGGGAAGACGGCGAGGCGGCGGCGATGCCCGCATGTGTGTTGGAGGCCAGCCGGCTGGGAGGAGAGAAGCGGCGCCTTCTGAGCGGGAGCTGGTGCTCCAGCCGCACCCCTCGCGTGCGATGGGCTGTGTGGTGTAGAAAGGGGCTCCCGTGACCCCGCTGCTGCGATGGTGCTCAGGAGGCTGGAGGGGCGGGCAGGTCCCAGGGGGGTGGCTGGGAAAGGGCAAGAGGTGCCAGGATGAGGATGGGGGGCTCCAGGTTGACGGGTGTGAGAAGGCAGCTGGTGGCTCCAAGGCACACGGATCCTCCATGCAGCTTCCGAAGCCCCGGATGTGCCACCGCTTGGCTCTCCACCAGGCTCTCCGCCAGAGCCTCCCCCCTCCCCGGGCAATTGTGCGGAGGTGCTTGTGCATCCTTGGCAGCGCCTCCCCCCTTCAATCTCCTTCTTCTTCATCTCCTTCCTTTCCCCTTCAATCTTCCTTTCTTCCTTCCTTCCATCTCCATCCCTTCGCGGGTGTGAGAGGGCGGCCGGCGGCTCCGAGGCGCACGGATCCTCTGCGCAGCTTCCGAGGCCCCGGATGTGCCGCCACTTGGCTCTCCGCCAGAGCCTCCCCCCTCCCCGGGCAATTGTGCAGAGCTGCTTGTGCGTCCTTGGCAGCGCCTTCCCCCTTCAATCTCTCTCTCCTTCCTTCCTTCCTTCCTTCCTTCCTTCCTTCCTTCCTTCCTTCCTTCCCCCTTCAATCTCCTTCCTTGTCCATCTCCTTCCTTTCCCCTTCAATCTCCTTCCTTTCCCCTTCAATCTTCCTTCCTTTCATCTCCATCACTTCCCCTTCAATCTCTCTCCTTCCTTCCTTCCCCTTTCAATCTCCTTCCTTCTCCATCTCCTTTCTTTCCCCTTCAATCTCCTTCCTTCTCCATCTCCTTCCCTTCCCCTTCAATCTCCTTCCTTTCCCCTTCAATCCTCCTTCCTTCCTTCCTTCCTTCCATCTCCATCCCTTCGCCTTCAATCTCTTTCTCCTTCCTTCTTTCCTTTCCCCTTCAATCTCCTTCTTCTCCATCTCCTTCCTTTCCCCTTCAATCTTCCTTCCTTCCTTCCCCTTCCCTATCTCCCAACATTTTTGAGCAAGGAACAGTAAGCTTCTCCAGCGAGCATTGCTATATTGTTTTTGTGATTATGTTCAATTTGTAACAATGAAAATACACCCTGTATATCAGATATTTACATTACAATTCATAACAGTAGCAAAATTACAGTTATGAAGTAGCAACGAAAATAATTTTATGGTTGGGGGTCACCACAACATGAGGAACTGTATTAAAGGGTCACGGCATTAGGAAGGTTGAGAACCACTGCTGTAGATTGTCAGAATCAATCCATCGTTTCACTGGTATGAATTCACAGTTGGTTTATATACTCATTTTATTTTACTTTAGGAATTTACGAAACATTGTATTTATTTATATTTATTTATATTATGCATTTCTGGACCACCATCTCCTTCTCCCTACTAGATTAGAGCTAAGGGTTTTTAGCCCAAAATTCTGGTTTCCACAGGACTGAATTTGATTCTTAAAAGAAAGTTAAAGAACAAAATATCATGTCAATGGCCCTCCCCTGATTTCTTTATGACTTCAGTTCAATTTGCAAATTGCATAGCAAGGAGTTTGAAATAAAAAGATGAAAAAGTATCTATTAGTGTAAGACAATGCTCTAAAATCTGCCTCCCCATCTATTCTTGACCTCATACTTCATACTAAGTAATATATAATTTCACAAGCATATACAAATAGGCATGATTATGTCAAAATTATGAAATGTGTGTAGAGTTGTCTGTTCTTTCATATTTATATTGCAGTGGTGAATGAAAGTATGTAAGGAATGAAAATTGTGTTGTAATATATGTTTCGTCACTCACCCTGTCTGGCTCCATTTACCATAGTATGTGAACAGCTAGTAAAAAAACTTCTTTAAAACACTGACTTACTGGATAATGGCAGATAGCTTTTCTATAGAAAATGTGAATCAGCATTAAAGAAATGGGAGAATTTAATTTGAACGTTTAAATCTGTTTAATTGTTATCTTCAACTGTTAGAAATCTCTTCCCACAATTTTCTACCAAATTACATCAGTTTTCAAGATCACTGAAATAATTAATTATAGATTACTTTCTTCATCATGTTATAAAAGAAGTAGCAGTCTTATTACCATAATTCTAGTTAACATAAAATCATTTTTTCCTTTTACTGCCATTATCTTAGCTACAGCAAAATGCTAGCACCTGCCTCCTCCTCCCCCAATTTCAAAGTACCTCTATGATAAGGGTGTAAAAGTGCTGCAAGTGTGTGATCAATGGGAATCAAGTAAGAGTTGCCAATTCCACTTGTTACTAATGCTCTACCTTGGGGAAGGTGGCTTCTGACGTATCTTGCAAGGAGCTTCCAGATATCTGCAAATCAAGTAAATTTTGATTGAATTTCAAGCAGGCTAATGTTTAGGCAGCAGTCAGTGTTACCAAAAATATCAGTAAGAAATAACAATAACTAGAATCTATTATTATGTTTGATCATGTTAAGATAATTTTATGAACGTCTATTATGTTCCCCTACTAAAAAGTCCAACTTCATAAATATTTCTCTTATCTTTCTCTAAAGATACTCTCTCAGATTTCTTTTAAGCTGTACCAAATATTACGATCTTCTGTGCTTTATTTTCAATACATTTACTAATAAATACAAAGGTGAAAAGCAGTAAGTTTTTTCTTCCTAAGGAATACCCTGCATTTTTTTTTAAGGAAGATAAGGATGCATATTGGAAAGATACATGTCTCATAGGTAATAATAATAAGAAAAATAAATGCCGTAAGTTAGACATATCAAACACAAGGCCCGGGGGACAGATGCAGCCTGCGAAGTGGTTTCATGTGGCCCGGGAAGCCATCCTGGAAACAGTGAGGAAATGGCCCCTGCTGCTTGGCCCTGGCCCTGGCTGCGTTTCTTGCCTGTTTTTCTCCCTCCCTCATCTCAAATATTTTCCCACCACTCTGTACTTAGGAAGGAACAAAGGAAAGAAGGAAAGAAGGAGAGAGAGGGTCTGAGGTAAGTCCTGCTTTAGTCCGGTCCTGCTGCCCTTTCACCATCCCCTTGCCCCCTCCTCCTGGCCTATCCTGGGGTCTCCCATCCTATTGCTAAGGAAGCTTTGGATACAAAGCCGGGTCTCCTCCCATGGAGACGGAATGGGCCTTCCTCTGACTTTGCCCTGGTACCCATCATGAGCAACCTGGCTAAGGAGAGCAAGCACAGCAGCAGCAGCCTTGAGAAGGAGTTAAGTGCAGCTGGACGCCCCCTTGGGGAAGTGGAGGTGGGCTTGGTGCCGCGGGTGCTCGAGGGCCAGGCTGGGCGTTTGACCTCTGCTGCCCAGGACTCCGGGCAGCCTGCACCATCATCCAGCCCCCCCACATGGCCTGAGAGGAACAGTGGGGCTCCTCCAGTGGACCATCCTTGGTACTTGCCCTAGTCCAATCCCCTTCTGCCAGAGACCCTCAGATCTGTCCCACTCCTGCCCAAGCCACCACAGGCACCCTTGACACGAACAATGTAGAGCTGGCCATGCCCACCCAATAAGCCATTCCACGCCCACCCAGTAGGCTGCACCCACCCTGGCCACACCCACCCGTCCCCGAGGGCAACCGCAATGCTGATGAGGCCCTCAATGAAATTGAGTTTGACACCCCTGCTGTAAGTTGTGTATGCATTTTTTACTCCTCAAATAAAAGGAACTGAATACCTGATGCAGAGCCAGGTTTGGATTCTGAAGATCTATTGTGGCAAGAGAAGGCATGCGAGACTCTGGAACAATTTTATTTTCTTTCTTTAGAAATCTGGAATTCCAAACTATTTATGGAAAAAAAAAACATTTGATTTTTGTTTAACAGAAATTACCCTCTGTAAAATCAGACTTCCTAAAACGTATACTGCTACATAGGACTTTGAGATGCTTTTTCTTTTGATTTGACTGATTCAACTATTAATTTGCCAGTCGTTGATTTATAACAGGGTGGACAACATGAGGCCCTCCACGACTGTTGGATTGCATTTCACATTATCATCACATCATGTGCTGGCTAGGTAGGAAGGTAATTGAAGCTTAACAAAAGCTAGAGAGCTACGCAATATCTTTTAAATGAGGTTTTTTTCAAGTTTGTTAGAGATAATTAGCTCAATTATTTTCCATTCCCTTAATTAAAAAACTAAGATGGACTAAAATAATTTCAGACAAATGGGCAGACTAGCATCAATTACACCTGCAGCAAAGACAGAAGGTCTGCTTATTATGGGCTGAACATGTGTGCACAAGCATATGCATAATGAATTTTAGGATTTATCACATACAGAACTTGCGCTCATAGAAATGAAATCAAAAATCACTCTAAAAATAAAAAACATCTTAACTGTTGACCTTGTCATTTTAATGTTCCTAATTTAGATAGAACAGGGTAAATTTTCATTTCAGAAAAATGTAACTGGCAACGATACATTGAGCTATACTTTTTAGCTTTGAATGTTATGATTATTCAACTAATTCTGAGCTATGAAATGTAAAAGACTGAAATCTTTTATAGAACCTTTGATGAAAATGGATAAAATAAACAAATGATTTGTGGATTTATTGATTTAAAAGTTTTGTTTAAAAGGAGCTATAATGTGCAATATGAGATGGTGGAGATGTAATTGCTATGCTAACTGCTGCAAACTGCTACAAAGAAGTTGCTCTTTAGGTATTTTTCTTATTCTCTTTATATTCTTCACTTTTTTTTTTACATATTAAATATATTTATATGGCCGCCCAACTCACACACAATGATTTTTTTCCTTCTATGTTTCTGTAGTTTTTAAAAAATCTTTGTAAAATCTTCATTTAATAAAAATTATTCATAGACATTCTATAACCAAACACAAACCCTTACCATCCACACCTTTGACTTCAGGAAGATGACTGTAATTAAGTTCTGGCAAATGGACATCTGCTTTAGAAAACTCCCATTTTTTTTTGAGGGACTGAAGAGCATTGTTCTCTTTTAACATCTATTACCAAGCAAATAAAATGTGATGGTAGTTTTGCAAAAAAATAAAGTCTAAAGTGAAACACCATATATAGAGATTTATATAAGCAGTACTAAATATCTACCCCATCCTATATTAATAGTGAGCCCATTCTCTAACACCAAAAGAACTAACCAGCATAATAGAGGGAGTGGAGGTAGAGGGGGAACAACAAAATTTGCAGAAAGCTGCAGAAAGAAGTGATAACTATTGAAAATATAATGTTGGAATATTGGGGAGGAAAGGAGGCTATGATGAAAGTTAAATCAGCTAAATGAGGGATATTCTCTTATTAAAAAAAATAAAGCTTGGACTACATCTAATAGTAGGAGATAGACCTACTATCTATGCAAATTGTGCCCATATCTTGATAAGCTTTCAAAGCAGATCCTAAATGAGTTATGAAAACACATAACAAAAATAATAATATTTTGTATAATTTGGATAGGAACAGTTATGAAGAAATATGTATGTGGGTATAAACATACATATACGTACACATATTTCAGAAAGAAAAAAGCATTAATTACAAATCTGAGAAGGATTGAAAAACTCTTCTCTTTTTTTCCCCTTTAAGAAAAAATGCCTAGTTTTTCTCCCAGTTCTGTGTATGTTTCACTGTAGATTTGCTGGAAGGATTCCTTTATTTTTATTGATTTTATTTAAATTGCCCAGGGAACATTTTTGGCTGATGAGTATAGTAGAACTAAACAAAAGGATACCAAAATAACAAGGAAAGGTAACATGTTAAGAGAAAGGCCCTACTTGCTAGATACACATGGAAGAGTTATGGAGAATTTTGCTTTTCTTTCTTCTCTGCCCACTTTCCAAGGTCTGCATGCTCATCCTATGGTTTCCCAAATTCCCACAAGATGTGGCATAATAATAATAATAATAATAATAATAATAATAATAATAATAATAATAATAATAATAATAATAATAAAGTTGGAAGGGACCTTGGGGGTCATTAGTTCAACCCCCTGCTCAGGCAGGAAACCCTATACTAATACAGACAAATGGCTGTCGAGACTCTTCTTAAAAACTTCTAGTGTTGGAGCATTCACCGCTTCTAGAGGCAGGTTGTTCCACTGGTTAATTGTGCTGTCAGGAAGTTTCTCCTTAATTCTAGGTTGCTTCTCTCCTTGATTAGTTTCCAACCATTGCTTCTTGTCCTGCCTTCAAGTGCTTTGGAGAATAGCTTGACTCCCTCTTCTTTGTGGCAAACCCTGAGATATTGGAATACTGCTATCATGTCCCCCCTCATCCTTCTCTTCATTAAACTAGACATACCCAATTCCAGCAACCGTTCCTTATATGTTTTAGCCCCCAGTCCCCTAATCATCTTTGTTGCTCTTCTCTGTACTCTTTCTAGAGTCTCGACATCTTTTTTACATCGTGGTGACCAAAACTGGATGCAGTATTCCAAGTGTGGCCTTACCAAGGCATTGTAAAGTGGTATTAATACTTCACGTGATCTTGATTCTATCCCTCTATTAATGTAGCCTAGCACTGTGTCGGCTTTTTTGGCAGCTGCAGCACACTGCTGGCTTATATTTAAGTGATTGACCACTAGGACTCCGAGATCCCTCTCACAGTTACTACTATTGAGCAAGGAACCACCTATCCTATACTATACCTGTACGTTTGGTTTTTCTTACTTAAATGTAGAACCTTACTTTTTTCACCACTGAATTTCATTTTGTTAGATAGTGCCCAATGTTCAGGTCTGTCCAGATTCTCCTGTATCTTATCTTCTGGAGTGTTGGCTATTCCTGCCAGCTTGGGGTCGTCTGCAAATTTGATGAGTTCCCCATCTATCCCCTTGTCCAAATAATTGATGTAGATGTTGAAGAGCACTGGCCCTAGAACAGAGCCACGGGGCACCCCACTACACACTTCCCTGCATGTAGATGCGGTTCCATTGAGGACCACATGCTGAGTACGGCCGGTCAGCCAGCTATGAATCCATCTGGTGGTTATGCTGTCTATCCCACATTTTTCTAGCTTACCAAGAAGTAGATTGTGATCTACTTTGTCAAATGCCTTACTGAACTCCAAGTAAATTATATCCACAGCATTTCTCTGGTCCACTAATTTTGTTATTTGGTCAAAGAATGCAATAAGATTTGTCTGGCATGATCTGTTTTTGACAAACCCATGTCGGCTTTTAGTAATGACTTTATTTGCCTCTAGGTTTTCGCTGATTCGTTGTCTGATTATCCAGAATATAAATACCAAATATCAGGAAAGTTCAAATATTTTCAAATAGAGCTTACCGATGCTGATAAGTTCACATTATAGTGACCTGCTGGTGATTGTTTGCCTTGCCTGATACAAGGATTGAAATAGATTTTGCTTTTCTCATCAATTCTAAAAATAAACATATACAGAATGGGCATCCTTAAATTTAAAAGCCAGGTCTAAGACTATATAACTGAAAAATACAATTGTCCCAGACTGATCTATAGGCAGAAGATGTTGAGAGTTTGCAGAAATTAATTAGATCTACATTTGGGTAAGTATCTGTATAGAAGACTGCTAACATGAGTTAATACTGAAGTTGTCATGCTATATAACGATTATAGGAAGTAACATTTGCTAATAGCTAGGTAAGAGTTTTCTCCCTCCTTCTTCAACCTTCCTCCACCCTGTAATATCTACTCAGTTACAGGTCTTTTATTCTACTGCAGCACAATTGGGTGTTGTTGTTTTTTAACTAAATACTGACAATGAGACCTAAACTTAAGAAAAACACTGTTGGAGCAATTCTCACTTTTTGTAGGATGAGGCCTTCATCCTATTTGGAAATAAGTATACTATAGCTATATACTTAGGAAATAATGTATGAATTAGTCCTTAAGTAACATTAGATAATATGCAAAAATATGTACTTTCTAAATAGAAATGGCTAAAATGTAAAGTAATCTGCAATACTGATACCAATTTGATAATTTATTCTATTTTTGTACCTGTAATTATGGCTTGCCAATGTTGTCCCTATTGTGGGAGTCCCATCGATGCTGGATTGTGTGGTGGAATAATTCTGTGCAATGGGAGGAATTACCATGCTTGGATTCTTCACATATTCTATGCTACTGTTTGAATCCTGTATATATGTTGGAATTGTATTAAATTGCCCAGCACTGTTATCATACAGGAAACTCATACGTGATGACCTTTCAGATTTCAGTATGTCAGCCTTAGATACTTTCATTCTGAACAGCTTGGAGTCTCTGAGCTTTGAATTCACACCTAAATCCTGTTACAAGACACAAACCAAGTACTACAAATGAACTGAATACAAGTGAAAATTAATAGGTAACGTTATATGAAGGTCACAGAAACCTGTAATTCTGTTAATGTTTGTACTATTTAGTGATACTAGGAAAACTATATGGAAAAAATATTATTTCTATCTGCAAGAGGCAACCAATCACATTCAAATCCACAGAATTGCTTTATGTATGTACAATTATCCTGATCCAACTATGGAAGAATACAGGTGCTTTATCTCAATGAAACACAAAAAAGTCACATCTATAATAAAAATTCAACAGAGATGGCAATAAATCATCTGAGTCTGTTATCAAGTATACGCTAGACAAAGAGTTAACGTCAATCCTGGTCCCATAAACATGCTGTTAGTGTACCTAACAAGTGAAGTTCTAGTCTAGTGAGTCTCCTCACACACAGAAATGTAGATGTGGGCAGGAAGAGGTATGATAATGAAGAAATTAAAAAACCAATACATATAAAAACAAAAGGAAATTAAAGTATATTTAAATGTTTGTTACAAAGGTATCAATATAATTAAAACACTATATTTATTAATAGTTGTGCATACTAATGGAGGAAGGATTTCAGGTCTTCCTCTCAAGATGGCTGCTGCACGGTAAGGGCTTTTTTCCCCCCCTTACTGATGATGTGCTGATTTTATTGGCAGAGCTGGTTCTTTGGCAGTGCTGTTCCCTGGTTTTAAATGGTAGCACTTAGAAATGACCCAAGACGACTCTTGGACAATCATGGCCCCAGTTGGAAAGGCAGGGTCTTGAAGGTTCCAGTTCCCTCTGGAAGTGATCAAAGTCACTGAAGTATACGTTTTCCTGTCAGCAGTTTCTTAAGTATGCCTGAATATTAACTTTCACTTTTTGAATGTATTGCTTCATTTTGTTTTTTGCTTTAAAAATTGATTAGCGGTTGAATGCTGATTTATTTCAACCCCTTGCTGGACTCTAATTGTTTGTTTTTCTTTTTGGTATATTTCTTCTTTTTGCTGTGTATATTCCTCCTTATGCAAACAGAGATGAGGCTCTGAATGTTCTCTATCATATCATCAGTAAATTATCAACTATTTGCTTGGAGGGTGCTGTTATTGTTGTTGTAGATTTTAATCAGGTTTCCATCAGTGTGTGAACTTCACAATCAGAGGTGGGAATACATTGGATTTTGCTTATTCTAACACCATGAATGCATTTAAAGCTATTCCCCACCCTTACCTTGGCTCTTCTGGCTATCTCTCTGTCCGGCTTATCCCAGCATATAAGTCTGTATTATGAAGTAGGTGAGGGTTTGGGCGGAGGGATCTACAGAAGTATTACAAAATTGCTTTGAGTACACGGATTGGGGCATGTTTAAAGAAGCTGCTGTACTTAACCAACATATTGATGTGTGCCACCACTGTGTCTGCATATATTCAGAAGTACATTGAAGATATCTGTGTCCTTAAAAATATCATGGTGCAGGTTAATGAAAAAACATGGATGACATATGAGGTTCACAAGATATTGAAAGCACAGAATGTGGCTTTAATCCAGTGATATGCTGGTGCTTAGAACTGCCAGAGCCAATTTGAAATATGCCATAAAAACAGCAAAGCAATCCCATTGTCAGAAAGTTCAGAACTTCTTTCAGGACTCTATGAACATCAGGTGTATATGGCAAGGCATCCAGGCCATTACAGACTATAAGCTGGCTCCATCATGCTGTAAAGATAACAGTATTTTTAAATGAGCTGAACATATTTTTTAAAAAAGATTTGAGGCATCAAATATTACCTGAGAGGAAAGCTATACCCCATCCTGATGAGAAAGTGATTAGCTTTGATGTTAGCTCTGTCTGGAGGACATTGTGGAAAGTTAACATTATAAATCAGCATGCCTGGATAATATCCCTGGGCATGTTCTTAGGGAGTGTGCAGATGAGTTCTTACAAATATTTTCAATCTTTCATTGCGGCAGGCAGTTTTAAGACTGTCATTATTTTGCAAGTGCCAAAAAAGTCTTCAGTCAAGGTGTTAATGATTATCATTGGTTGCAATTACTTCCATCATTATGAAATATTTTGAAAGGCTGATAAAGGATTTTATTGTACCCAGCCTCTCTCCAGCATTTGACTCACTTCAGTTTGCTTATTGTCTAAATCCTTCCACTGAGGCTGCTGCTTCCCATATTTTCCATCTGAGCTTGGCAGACTTAAAGGAATATTGTTTGTTTGACTTTAGTTCGGCATTTAATACAATCACTCTTCAGCATTTAGTAGATAAATTGGGCCTTTTAGGTTTCAATACTCCTTCGTGCAACTGGGTTCTTGATTTTCTCACTGATAAGCCACAATATGTGCAAGTTGGGAACTATTATTTTTAGCTCCTATGCTTGAGCACAGGTTTTCCTCAGGGCTGTGTTCTAAGTCTGCTGTTATTCACTCTGCTGACTCATGACTGTTGGGCAAGGTTTGCTACCAACCATATTGTGACGTATGGAGATGATACAACTCTGGTGGGCCTTATTCAGGATAACAAAGATGATTACAGGAGGAGGCAGAGGATTTGATGAACTGGTATAATAAAAACAGCCTGGTTTTAAACATAAGAAAAACAAAAGAGATCATTGCTGATTTCAGAAAAGGCAGCCCTAGCCACACACCTCTGTGTATTAACAATTCCATTGTGGAGGTGGTTAATAGCATCAAGTTTTTGGGTGTGCAGCTGAGGAGCAGGTTAGCTTATGAGACACTGGTGAAGCGGGTACAGCAGTGCCCATCTTTTCTACATTGTATGAGAAAGCACATCTTCTTTCCCCTCTCCTTACCACTTTCTATAGAGGGATGATTGAAAGCATCCTATTGTATTGTATTACTTTGTGGTTTGGAGATATTACTGTTTCAAAAGGAAGGTTGTGAGAGAATGGTAAGGATGGCAGAAAAGATTATTGGAAGTTCACTTCCTTCTATTTAGGACATAGCATATAAGCATTGCTTGACCATGGTCCACAGTATTGTCTGGGGCACTCCACATCCCCTTCATGACTAGTTTTCTTTGTTACTTTCTGGGAGGAGTCTTTGTGGTATCTGAAGCAGAACAACTAGATTCGGTAATAGCTTTATACCATATAGTATCAACCTTGTTGATTCTGAAGATACCTTTTTCCGTTATGTATTCTAAATGGTCTGTGATTAATATAGGTATATATGTATGTATGTGTGTGTGCGCACGCGCACGCGTGTATACAGCATATGTATGTAATGTATGTATGTATGTATATGTATATATACCGTGTTTCCCTGAAAATAAGACCCTGTCTTATATATTTTTTGGCACCAAAAGATGCATTAGGGTTTATTTCTGGGGAAACACAGTATCAAAGTGATCAACCCGGCCGGGCACCCAGCCCTAGTGTGCACACAAGAGGCAGCGAGCGTGCAGGGCCGACACTGTCTGGCAGCAACTGCAGCCCGGCAGCCCCTTGGCGCAGCGCAGGTAAGTCTTAGCACGGAGGCAAAGATGGGGGGAGGCAGGCAATCTGGATGCGCTGTGCGGCTGCCTGGCTTGTGGGAGGCTCACGTGGCAGCACCGGTAACAGGCGAAGGCAGAGATACGGGGAGGGGAGGCAGGCGATCTGGATGTGCTATGTGGCCTCCTGGCTCACGGGAAGCTCACATGACAGCAACGGCAACAGGCAGAGGCACAGGAGGGAGGCAAGCAATCCTGACACGCTATGTGACCCCCCTGCGTGGCCACGGTCAAGCCAAGGGACGGTGGGACGGAGTAGGCAGCATGTTCAGATTGCCTGCCTTCCCCCGTGTCTGTCTGCTGCCAGTGCCGCCTTGTAAGCCTCCCGCGAACCTGGCAGCCGCACAGTAAGTCCGAATGGCCTGTGTAGTGTGGACTGGCCTGCTGCCAGACACCGTCGGCCCCTGTGCACTCCTGTGCTGACCACGCCCACTCCCTTGGGCTTATTTTTGGATAAGGCTTATATTAGGAGCATAGTAAAAAATCAGGCTATGGTTTATTTTCTGGGTGGTTTTTGAATTCTTTTAAAATTTTTTTAATTTGAATTTGTACTTTGTATTTTAATCTTGTCTTGAACAAAATAAAATATACAACTAAAAATAAAGAAGGAAAGGTTTCAAAGGAACATAGCATTCAAAATAGGATGCTATGTAATTCATGGGAGAAAACAGGTTTGTATGCAGATAGCTTAAGTACAACCTGCACAATTTCTAATAGGAAATGTTACAACATTCTGACAATTCCATCACAAACAATGAAGAGTAATTTCTCATAGGCAAGATTAAACTTTGCTTTAAAAGCATTTATTCACATATAATTTTAAAGAAGGAAAAATCCTGTGTTTTACAAACCTGGATTAAAAGCATTTTTCTTTCATCGCCTATATCATCTTTGTCCTTCTTATTTATTTTTGGTTTCTTGGGTACAGCGTGTTCTTTTTCTTTTTGAATCTTGATTTTAAGTTCTTGAACAAATCTTATGTTCCATGTTAAAATGAAAACATAAAAATGAAACTGTTATTAATAAACAAAAGCATTTACCTATCACACATTCACATTTAAACCCCCTTATGTTTTGTTGTTATTAATTATTTAAAAAAAACATAAATTATAGCAATCTTTACCATGTTGGTAAGTAAAGACATGTTGATAAGTAAAGATGTAGCTAGAAATACAATGAGATACAAATAAAACCGCCACTTAAACAAGTCTAAGGAAAAATACAGGACAATATACCATGTTTCCCCAAAAATAAGACCAGGTCTTTTTTTTCTCCCACTCCAAAATAGGCAAGGTTTGTGTCTTTTCCATTCACCTCTGGCACCGATAGCCCCAGCTAGCCAGCCCACTTCTGCGGCTGAAGAAATGGCTTCATTCTGCAGCTGAGAATGGAACTCCGACCTGCATTTCGCAGTCAGACCTTTCTGGAAGATCTCTGCAACCGAGAACCGAGCTATTTTATTCAGTTCAGAGGCCTGCAGAATCAAGTTCTGGATTGACTCCATAGCTCAGTTCTTGGCTGCAGTGGACTTTCGGAAATGCCTCTGATTGCGAAATGCAGGCCTGGGGACGCCACAGAAGAAGTGGGCCGGTGAGGAGAGGCCTGGCTGCAAGGTAAATGGGTGCAGGGCGTGTGGAGCAGCTCCATACCCCCACCCTAGCTTGATTTTTAGGTGCGTGCCTTGCCCCAAAGCTAGGCCTTATTTTAATTTCAGGAAAACACAGGTATGTGACTCATGGATGAACTATGGAGTCCTTGATGCTCTCTGAATGTGTGTGTAATGATGAGTGTTACCTATTCAGGTAATGAACCTGCAAACAACCAAGCTCAGAGGGTATAAAGGACTTCATAAAATTCTATAAAACTACTCAAAACTGGTGTGATAAAAAAGGAAGGAATCTTTAAAGAGCTGTAGGAGGAACTCAAGATTATTTAGATCAACACTGGCTTATCTATATATTCCTAGCTCTTGTTTACATCCCATGATTTTACAGTTTACATGAGAAATACATGCACCATCCAGCCAAAGTCAGGTCCTATGGGTATAGAGTCATCAACAGATTTTGATACCAGGTTTGGCACTGCACTCTGAGCTATAAATTTTGACACAGTCCTTGTGCTGAGTGCTGTATACAATGGCCATCTTGGTGTCTTTCTGCTGTCATTTCCCTGGGGCTCCTGATAGATGAATGGATATTTGTTATCATCTTGCTTGCTATGTTATCTTTTTGTATTTCTGTTTAAATATGTCTTGCTAAAGCTAACAGTAAAGCTTATTTTTGTCATGTATTATTTCAACAGAATGGCTGCTTTGATTTGCTGGTCAATGACTGAAATAAATAAAGTGACTATAATACAAAAAGGGATTAAAAATTATAGGTAGTCCTTAATGAACAATTGGACACTTATCAGCCATTCATTTATGGCAGTCTCTCCCAAAAGCTATTTCATTTCAAAGTTACAGCTGCTGCAGTACGCCAGTGATTATTCATCTTTACAATTGACTGCAGGGATCCACCAGCTCTTCCTCATCATTTGAGCTGGCACCTGAAGGAATCATCATGCTTGGGACAAGCGGGCCTTTGCTCAGCCTCCTAGGGTCTTCCTTAGACGAGACACCCATGTTCCTCTTAACAATCTGCACCTTCATTTAAAGGTTTCATCGGAGACAGCAAGGGGCAGAGGTCATTAAGCAAGGCCATCTCTCTTAATGACCATCATGACATGTGACTGTAAAAGGCAAGTTACATTATGGCTATATCTTAAGGACTATCTACCTATATGGATTTAAATATCATGTCTTTTTCACTCTTCCCCAATATCCATTTATTTTTTAATTAATACTAGTTATAAACTCACGAGCAACAAAGATTTTCACGTATAGATTTCCACTAAAAGTACATTCCAAGAAATCGACAAGAACATTAAAAAAAATCTTCTCTGTACAGAGAAACTACTGTTATCTGAACACTGAGTTTATATTGTTCAATTGTTCATAAACAGTCTATGTGAGCTAAATAGTTGTGAGATGGGGCAGTGTCTAATATGAATTAAGCATCATTTATAAAGTTCACTTCCTGTTAAAAGAAATTCTGGTTATTCTGGTTAGTTATATAGAACTGGCACTAAACATTTGATAGCAAACAAGGAGCAACTACTTTACATTTGATACAGGAAGTGAGAAGAAGTAAAATTCTTCTGCAATGAAGAATTAGCTGAGTCAGATCATGTCCTATGCCAATTTGTTCTCCCAGTTGTACTCTCAGACCAAATCTGTCATCAATTTTCTGACATTAGAACGTAGCAACAGAAAAAGAGTAAACAGGTAAAGAGTGTCATTATTCCCATCCATGATTTTCACTTACTGACACTGCAACTCTTTTGCAGCTCCAGAAGTCACCAATATCTAGTTCCATCTTTGTATATGCTGAAAGGAGAATATCTCACTCTTCTTTCTTTTTAACAGGTATTTTGATAAAATCAGAAGACTCACCTTTCAGCAAACCCATCTTTGTTAAAGAGGTTGCACTGTAGCAGTTCATTACAAGATGGCCTCTTTTCTGGATTAGTTTGCAGACATTGCTGAAGTAAGATTAAAACTTTATCTTGTTAAACACAATAGAATCAAATAAAATGATCCAAGCTCTATTGAACAAATACATGTAGTCTACATACTTAAGAAGAATATAGCCTGGATTTTATGAAATCCCTTTCATATTATATATCAGATAATGGATTCTTTTTTTAAAAAAAAAAGATATACAATACACTGGAAATAGGAGGAGAGCAATGTCAGAAGCTAAAATGTCAAACATTCCATTGAGCATTCCAAACTTTTAAGTCTAAACTAGCTTTTTGTACTTTTGTAGTTAAATGAAGTAAAGCAATCTAACATTTTACAGATTATATTCAAAGGGTAATCACACCAACCTAATCACACTATTGCCAATAAGAATTTCTATATCTGAAATTAGAACATCACATCTAAAAATATAAAATTGATATCGGAAACAGTACAAAAACTGAGAAACTTCTAGTCCCACTTGAGGCAGGAAAGCTGGGTGGATGACTTTGGGTCAGTCATTCTTCCTTCAACCCAACCCACCTCACAGGACTGTTATGGGGGAAATGGGAGGAGAAAGGAACATTAGGTATGTTCGCCACCCAACAAAATAATAAAAATGGGATAAAAATATAATCTAAAAAAATAAGTGAGCAATCAAATACCCAAAGAACAGGAGGCAAAGACATTATAGCTCAATTGTTTCAAGATAATCCAAAATTTTTAAGCTGTCATTTGAACCAAGAAACTGATACTGAATAGGTTGCACAAGTCTTCTATAAAGTCTTTAGAATGCACACTAGCATATTTTTTAAAAAAGAAAATAGACATATGTTTTTCTCTAAATGTGTACAGGGAGTCCTCAACTTACAACTATAACGGAGTCTGCCCATTAAGGTTACATGGCAGTTGTTAAATGAGACTGTTTCTTCAAAAACTCCAAATATTAACCATACCAATAGTAGTCACTAAATGAATGCATAGGTCATTAAGCAAATGTCCCAGCATGAAGTGCTGTGGGGATGCAGGGAAGGGCCAGCACAGAACTTGTGTGAGTTGGACAGGATGCTGAAGTACAGTACAAATGCAAGGAGACTGGGAAAGAAACCCAGTCTGTCCTAGAATGTCTGTCCCAGCCCAGAATGTCTGTCCCAGCCCAGCCTCACTCTGGAAGGGAAAGGCAGAGACAGGAAGGCAGAAAGCAGGCAGATTCCAGGAATGGAGCAGCCATTAAAGTCATTTCAATTCAAGCCTTTCCTCACACACGGCAACAGCAATCAAACTGTCCTATTGGTAGCTTCTGTCCTACTGATGGCTTTTCATAACATAGCAGTGCTAACCCCAGTCTTTGCTCATTCCCCCACTGACAAGATTGGGCTTAGTCCCCCATCTCCACCACTCAGGCCCCAAGCCCTATCTGTCTGCAGTTGCCAGGGATAATGGTTGATGATGAGGGAGTTCCCTCTCTGTTGTGGGGCCTCGCTGTCCAAGGGACTAGCAGTTCAAAAGAAAATGGGGCTGCTCAGCAGAGAGAGAGAGAGAGAGAGAGAGAGAGAGAGAGAGAGAGAGAGAGAGAGAGAGAGAGAGAGAGAGAGAGAGAGAGAGAGAGAGAGAGCTTCCTCTCTGGGAGGGAAACCACTAGGAGGAGCAACTAGGTTGTGTTTCATAATGGCCACTTCTGGAATGGAGCCAAGCAGAGTTACTGAGGTGCAAAGTGGCACAATCGATGGTGGGTGGGCTCTAGGCCTGGTGAGATGAAACAGATCCAAGGCCAGCAGGAACCTGTTTAGAGAGATATGGGGGAAGAGATAGGCCAGGCTGGGGAGGGTGATGCAGCATCCCTGTATTTGGTTATAAGGACAAATGACTGTAAGAACACTGCAGCAGCCCTAACTTTGAAACTGAGTCATAAGTACTTTCGAGGGGTCTGTCATAATTCTGAACGGTCGCTAAGCTGAAGACTACACATCTGGTTTCTTTGGAAAGTGAAGATGATAAAATGGTTAAAAAAATTGCCCTGAGAAAAATAAAATTTCTCAAGGTTACATAATGGCTGATAAGTTGTTTTCATGTACATACATACATACATACATACATATACCAATTCTTCATTTTGCTTTTTTTTCCTGAAAAGCAAAATAGGAGGGCATGTATATACATACCAAGATAGCTAGAAACAGTTTCTAAAGCAGCCAAGTGAATTTAGGAAAAGATCACCAATACTGAAATGTTGATTTTTCAATCAATATTCAATTTCAAAGAAACTTAAAGATTCCCAAAGTCATGATTCTGCTAACAGACAGAAAGATAAGAAACCTCAAAATTACCTTTGCAAATTCTATGACTGCAATGGAGAGTTTTGAGTATCGTTTTTCAAGAGGTTCTAACTCTTTGATTTCAGGCAATCTCACTCCAGCAAAGAGAGGATTTTTGTAAAATAACTCCTGGTGCTTTGGAATTAAGTTACCTAAAATTAATAATTGCTTGTATCAATAATAAGTATAACCTTGCAAAAAAAATGAATAGTTAGCTAACTAGCTAGACAGACAGAGAGACAGAGACAGGCAGACATACAGATAGATAAAAAGCATAGACAAAAAGACAAGATGCATTCTTACCTAGACTTTTCATAATATGGTATAACTGGTCAATATCAGAGTCTCCAGGGAAAAGGGGCTCTCCTGTAAGCATTTCAGTTACCAGGCAGCCAATGGCCCAAACATCAACAGCCCTGCAAATAAAACATACTTATGCTGTTCCCTGGTTTTAAATTGGAGCACTTAAGAGTGACCCAAGATGACTTTTGGACAATAGTGACCCAGTGGGAAAGGGGGTCTTGAACATTCCAATTCCCTCTAGAAATGATTGTAAAGTCCCTAGGCATATCCATCTTCCTGTCAAGCAGTTTCATTTTCTAAGCATGCCAGAATTTTAACTTTCATTTTGACTTTATTATTTTATTTTGTTTTTCATTTAAAAATTGATCAGCAATTGAATGCTGATTTATTTCAACCCCTTGCTGGACTCTAATTGCTTTTTCTCTTTTCTTTCTGATATATGTTGTTCTAGATAACTTCTGTCCCTTCTGTATGGAAAGCACAGCAATGTTTGTGGAGATGGTGAAGAGACATTAAATGCCACAGTATTTTTTGAATTTGCAAAATATCTGAAGTTTATTTTTATTGAATTTTTCTTATAATTTTGGATTGAAATATAGAGAAAAATATTTTTTTTATTCTTTGTTCCCTGATTTAAGTTCCACCAATTAAAATGTCTGAACAGTGTTTGAGATCTAAGAAAGAAGGGTGGGAAAACATGCAGCTTATAGCTACTTTTCTCTTACATAAACTTGATTAAACTTTAATGATTCTTCAAAGAATGTTATAACCTGAAGCTTTATCTTTGGATAAAGATGCACAAAAGGACTTTGATCTAATTCCAGATCAAAGAGAGAGTCTCACAGCTGAAGAACCATAGAAATGGATTTCATTTGTTGTTCAGAAGTCTAAGTCTGTATACTTCTCCAACATTACGACCACAGCTGGAAGAGAGGGAGACAAATTCCTTTCCTCTACAAAGACAGAAGGAGGCTGGATGGATTTATTACAATTAACTAGTAATTACCTTTGCTTACACTCTGACTCGAAGATAGACATATTCTGGAGACTGAATTTTCTACATTTAATTAAACAACAATTGACAAGAAAGGATATTAGGAAACAAACATGGATTTTTGACCGACGATCTATTTATAATTTTTGGGATGATCCTGGATAGTTAAAATGCTGTGGTAAATTTTCTACGAGTGGATTACAATAACAGTTTGTTAACAGAAAGATTTGAAACTTTAATTTTGTTCTGTTTTACTATTATTGTTTTTCCTGCTAACTACTTTGTCACTAATATAATATATAGAAGACAGTTCAACAAGTTGCTAATAAATTTAGTAATTTAAGAATTTTGGGAGGGCCTGTTTTGTAAGGGGCGGGAACTAATTGTAGTAATATATTAATCAGTATTCAACTAAAGAGGATAATATGTTTATAATGTGTTGGGTTTTTTGATACACCCTTTTTAACGTTCTGTTTTGTGTTTTTTTAAAATGTCTTCTTGGATTTTATTGAGTTTTCTATTTTGCATTTTAAGTTTGTTCTGAATAAAATAAAAAAAATATTTTTAAAAAATCTAATAATATTTTAACATTGAATTCTAAATTTCCTTACTTGCCATATTTGATATCACCTATTAATAGCTCAGGTGCTCGATACCACCGTGTTGCCACATAATCTGTGTAAACTTCACCAGGAGCTGCCAGAGTTCGAGCAAATCCAAAATCACAGAGTTTGATAATTCCCGAACAGGAGACCAATATGTTCTCAGGTTTAATATCCCTATGTATGATCTTAAAAAGAATGCATATCTATGTTAGCAAAGTCATTATAAACCCATCATGGAAATTCTTCCATAGAAAACATCTAGGTTCTTTAGACTGACATAAAGAGGACAGCCTGCTTCACATTCTCTTTATTTGTCAAATGGAATATTATGTGAGAAATTGTATCGCAAAAACTCAATCACAATGGTCTGTGATGTTGTATCTCCACACAATTAATTGTATTGTAAAGAAAGAATATTTTTCTAGAAGTAAAAAAAAATTACAACAAAATATCAACCCTATCCCAAATAATAGACCCTTTCAGAGTATCTATCCCAATCCATATATGTACAATGTAACACTTTCCAAAAAATCAGAAATCTTAATAGGATTTTCAAATACACGAAGAGAAATGTCTGTTAAAGAACTGTCTCACTATTCACTCAACTGTGAAATATTGTGCTATCTCAAAGGGAGAACATGTACATTTACTCATTTTATATGAGCATTCAAGTGATAAACATGCAGAATGTTCAGAAAATATTCAGACAAGCATAATAATCTATTCTTGCCTTTGAAAGAATAGGTTTGCATACTAACCCTGAAGCAACTATTACATCACCAACTAATGAGGGAAAACATGAAGCAAACATGTCACTTCCACAAAAAAGAATAGAAATCAAAGAAGGTAGTTTGTTTTTCATTAGACAGCATATAGTTTCCTAGCTGTATGAAAGAAACATGAAAATACAGTATCAGAATATTTTAAATCCTTACAAATGTAGATTTATTCTGAAATATCAGACTGGTATCTCTCAAAAATCCTAACAAGAAAATAGAGTGCAGGAATTTACTTACATTATGACTATGACAAAATCCTACCCCTTTTATAATTTGAAATAAGTATTTTTGAACTCTGTTATAATCCAAGCCATTGGGAAACATCTCAAGATCATCAAGGATTGTGTGATCTACAAATTCAAACACCAGATACCATCGTTTTTTCTTCTTACAGACTTCCAGCAAGTTCACCAAGTTCTCATGCCTTAATTGCTATCAGGAGACAAAAAGTGCGTCATAAAACTACAAGAGATGGCAGTATAGTGCGTGAAAATATTCACAATAATTGCCTCTTGAAGAATATGTATATGTAGGGCTTTTTTTCTCATAGAACGCCAAGAACAGAGTTCCGGCATCTTTTTGGGATGGAATCTTGTAGGGTAGACAAGGCGGGTTGTATGACGTGTGTGAGTTCCGGCACCTTTTATATGATTAAGTAAATCATACAAATACTTCCAAATACTGTTTTATGCATGTTTACTAGGTAATAGTACTAATGATTATTAATATTCACAAAGTATTATATTACAGTCTCAGTATTTACACAATCTCTTTTCCCTATCACTGTATAAATAATTTAACTCAGCAATCCATTACAACTATAGTACGCTATTTTTTTCAGAGATAATTCCCTAAAGGTAGAAATTTACTCCATTTATTTATTCAGCAAAATCTAATTGACAGAACAAAGTTAAATACTGCTTTAATTCTATGCCCTATTTCTATTAGGCCATGACAATAAGATAAAGTGATATAAAATAATATATTTTGTAAAAACGATTTCTTTTTCTAAATATTAGATTTCTCTAAACACTAGAACCAAACCAGCATCTGTATTTCCTGCATCGGATGAGGAGAGCACATCTCTCTCCTTCTGTCCTGGCCACTTTTTACAGAGGCATGATTGAAAGCATTTTAACAAACTGCATCACTGTCTGGTTTGGTGGCAGCAGTGCCTCAGATAGAAAATCCATACAGACAATGGTAAGGACAGCCGAGAAGATCATAGGAAGCTCGCTCCCTGGTATTCAGGATGCTGCTTATAAGCACTCAAAGCATTGTTAGAGACCCCATACACCCACTTTACTGTCTGTTTCTGTTGCTCCCTCTGGGAGGAGGTTTCGAAGTATTTCTAGCAGATCTGTATTTATTTATTTATTTTTGTCATATTTTTGTAGTATATATCAGAAGTGGTAATACTTTAAGAGTTGTATGCAATGAAATTTCATTTTAATGTATGTCGATTAGTGTACATTCAAAGTGACAATAAAGTTATTATTCTATTCTATATTCTATTCTATTCTAATTCTGTATCTTGAAATCTATAGTTTGGTATTATACAATGATATTGTTTAATAAATATAGTAAAAGAGAAATTACAATCTTTTTTCTCACTATCTAATAACTCTACAGCAACAAAAGCATATCTAAAGATCAAACAAAACCCAGCTTTTTAAAATGTATGGCTTTTAGTTGAACAAATGGTGTATTTTCTATTAATAAGTTCTTCCTTACTTGGTCATTCTTACTGTTATGCTTGCAATTCCCTCCAGTAATACTGATGATCTCCTTTTCTCTAAAACAGTTTTCTGTATACCTTTTGTTTAATATTTAACATGCTGGAGCCCAATTCAAACTACATATTAATCATCACATAGTTTGGATTTTGGTTATAACAATTATGGTTAATAAACTTTTATGGCTTTTTTGTTCTGGGAATCTAGCCAATGGAAATCAGACAAATATATGAAATCAGTCTAAAATTAAACAAAAGTAATTGTATTTGCACACATCCTTTTGATGTTATTTTACCTCTGCCTTCTCCTGTATTTTTAATTTTTAATAAACATAAAGAATGACATTATAGCAAAGATAAAAAGATCTACAAGGTTATATACATTGATTTAGATGAAAAGTCACTACAGATTTAGAAATATGAACTTATCAGCCATTATCTTACCTTGAGAAATTTTATTTCTCTCAGGGCAATTTTTTTAACCATTTTATCATCTTCACTTTCCAAAAATTTTTTGATGGCAACAACTCTGCCATTCTCCTTGTTTCTGCATTTCATCACCGTTCCATAACTTCCTTCTCCCACAAGTCCAAGGATCTCATATTTTTCCATCTGAATTTAAACAAATGAGTAGCCTGTAAGCATACAATACTCAGTGTATATTAGTCAATATACGTGTATAAGCAATAGACTGTATATGTTCCAGTACCAATAATTCATTCTTTTGCACATAATATTTCAGCTTTTCATTATGGATCAAGATATATATTACCTTCTAATCAACAATCAAAGCAAATTTCTCATCATGATGGCTTCACAGAGTGCATTATATCCTTACAAGAAAAGGACATGGGGAAAAGCCAAAGGTTAAAATATAAAAATTCTAAAAGATACCAAAGAATGAGGATTGCAAATTTGAAATTGTATTTTGTGACCTGTTGCTTGGTTTGGATGAAGAAGTAGGTGCTGCTGAGAAATAAGACAATTTTAGAATAGACGATCACAACTTCACTGTTACAATGAAATATAAACATACCTGTAATTGCTATTAAAGAAGACCGGAAACAACTTCTTTACAATTTTTTCTTTTCTTTTCTTTCCCTTTTCTCTTTTTTTCCTTACACTTTTTTCCCACTTATTATTTCCCTTATTTTTCTCTTTCAAAATTTGTATTGTGTATTGTGCTTATTTTAAAAAAGTCTTATTTAATAAAATTATATTTAAAAAAGAAAGTAACATTATCAGCTAGAACTCAAACTTTTATGTTTAGTGTGTAATAAGGAAAGTAATTGTTTTAAAAGCCATTAGAAACACAAATATACCTCCTTGCTTAAATAAAGTTGATTTAAAAAACATACAATAACACATATCACTAATCTTCACTTTGCAAGAAAAAAAAATGGGAAATACTCAAGGGATGAGTATTGAGGAAAACATAATGATGTAATTATAGACACTTGCCAATAGGTATTGAACATTTAATGAACTAAATTAGAATTGAAATATGTTTTAAGCTCCCTACTGAAGGGGGAAAAATATTTGTTTCAACCTTGTCCACTTCAATAGGCTGATCTGAACATAATGAAATAAATGGAACAAATTAAAATGTTCCACTGACTTTATTTGGTTCAGCTTCATTAGTTTTACAATGTGTTCACAGTGTGAATATTATGTCATATTTTGATTTATATTCAATATTTATAATTAAAAATGCTGAAGAGAATTTACAATGAAAAAATTAGGAACAGATAGATGATAGTTTGCAAATTCATCATCAAATCATACTATTAGAGGGGAAAAAGCAAAGTATGCTTCATATATACCACAAAGCTAACGAAGATATAAGTAAACACTGGGATGAAAATGTGTGAATCCGTCCAAGATCCTTTTTTGTCACTCAGCAATTCTGCTTTAGCCTGACTGTCCTCTCATAGGGCAGCAGCTGCTTCAGAAATAATTTTGTTTTACATATATTTAAAAGTATGTCATTTCAAAGGCACTTCAAATAAAAAAAATAAAAACTGAGTATCAATTTACAGTCATCTATAATAAAATAAAGAGAGAAAAGTTAGAACTTCAGCAACATGGAGTTCAAAAAAATCTAGTAATGTGTCTTTTTTTTTTAACCAATCTTGAATGGATTGCAAAAGTATAGTTTTAGTAGATTTTTCATGAGAAGGAAGTCTCTCTTATTGTCTCCCTTAATAAAATCTCAGTTGCCATATAAAATAAGCATTATACAGCAACAAAATATGTATCTTTGGTTTAGATTTTTTTATCCCACCTATTTTTTAATAAATAATTCAAGAGGGCCAACATACCTAATACTCCTTCTTCCTCCTATTTTTCCATAACAATACCCTGAGTTGTGAGTGGGGGTAAGAGAGATTGGCCCTATCACCCAGCCAGTTGTCATGCCTATGAAGGGCTAAAGCTCAGTTTCTTTGTTTTTTAGCCAGATTAATCAAATCGACTCAAGCCATGGTTCACTACTATGATCACTATTTGGAAAGGCTATATATAAAAAATGTTCCTTTCAATTAGGGTTCTGGATAGTGGAATTCAGAAAGGGAGGAGAGTCAAAATCAGCAAGATGGAGTGCTGCAATGTGGGATTTGCCTATTTGAAGCATGCATGAAATGGCATACATACCAAGGAGGTGTCAGGCTGAGTGTTATGATGCACGCCCCATTTTGCTGGTTTTAACTTCCCCCCTTCCCCCACACATATCCAACTGCAGCTGATGAGGAAAACTGAAGAAGAACTAATAGTTCAATACATGCATATGTAAAATTAAACTATCTGGAAGCACATTATAGTGCCTGTATAAACCTACTATAATAGGTTTAGAAGATACACAACATACAAGACCAAACTGACAAACTAGCCTCTAGTTTAAAAAATAAAAAAAGTCAGTTCCTATCTTGAGTCATCAATAGGAGGACTAAAACACCGGCCTTAGGACCGGCCTTAGGACTTCCAAAACATCAAAGCTACTGTTGAAATCACATGCCATCTTGGTTACTTGGTTCCCCCTATACTCGCCACCCCACGTAATACTGTACGATACTGATCCCCCCCCCACCTCAGGGGGACATTCCATTTTTGACCTGAGACACTGCAGAGCCGCAATCACCTAACCAAGCTACCAAACTCAAAGGATCTCATCCCATGTTTTCACGTAGGTATTTAAAGTGGGGAGCGGTATAAATTCCTCCATGATCATCACTCCATCTCACTAGTCTCCACCCCGCTCTTCCGGAATCATTATCCGGGTCGCCTTCTCTCTGGCAGTACTATGGTCTCAAGGATAGGAAGGTCAATGAGCAATCCGAGTACGCTGTCGAGAGGCCCCGCATCATAAATCTTACTATAAGCTTGTTAGAGCGCTGTCCCAAAGCCTTCTTCCTCCTGGCAAAACAGTAACACTTACTGAAAATAAAATCCAGATTGCACTACAGTATTTCTGATCCCGAAGTTATTTGCACCTGCAGCAGTAGACGCAACTCACCGGTCCTGTTCCGCTTGCAAAGTTCCCTGGCGAAGCTTGCCCGTGCCTACCACCATCACACACTTCTCAGCTGCAAGGCTTCTTGGGGAGCCACAAACCTAGGGGAAGGTGTGAGGGATCCGCACAACGCGAGCTTAGCCGCGGTTGCGAGAATGGAACGCAAAGGCCCAGGCAGTAACCAATAGCAACAGTCAGCTTGCTCTTTCAAAACACATACTAGGAGCAGTGGCCGATGCACGCCGCCAGGAAGGGAGGGGCAATTCCAGCCTTTGGCGAAAGAGGTATCAGTGAAGATCCTGGTCTTCTTATGCTCTTCACTCGGTTGCAAATATGCAGTCAATACTATGGTTGAAAGATGTTTATCCAATACAGAAGCAAATGCTTGGAGAGTAGATGAGTCAGAAAAAGGCGCCCCTAGGCTTGAGGGGGAAAAAAAATAGCCAGCGATGCGTAACAAAACTCAGGCTTCGCGGTGAATGGCAAGAAATACCTTGCCTGCTTCTCTCTTCCCTATCCTTTTTACTTCTCGGTAGAGAAAATGGTAGGATATGGCTGCGCAAAACTTGGGCTGGGACAAGTGGGGGGGGGGTTGCCAGAGGTTTACAGGATGCTGCACATTTTTTTAGCGATGAAAGCCTCAGAGACTCCAAGGAACGCAGGATCGCAATAGCCCCAAGCATCTTCCGACTGTGGCACTATCGCCTTTTTCCTCTTGGAGCAGAAGTTTTTTTTTAACAGTGCGCCATTTCTCCCAAGGCTGCTGTTCCCCCAAAATGAAGTATTAAAATAGAAGTGGGGCTCTGGGAATTTAAATGGGGAATCTCACTGTTCCTGAGGGTAGAAACCACCCACTATATCTTGAATTAAATATCCAAAAGTTATTCATCCCCAATCATCTTTAATGCAAAATCTTCTGATCTCATTTGAAGTGAGAAAACAATTCCTTCCTTTTGGTGCCAAAGCCAGAGGGTTACAGCTGGCAGTTGGAAAACAACGATTTCCATTTCCCCAATATGCTCCCTTTTAATAGATTAAAGTCCCCAAAACAACTATATAAATTACAAGAGGTTAAAGCAAAATTTGTGCAGTTCAGATGCAATCCACCTTGACATGGCAATTCACTCTGGGGGAATGAGCCCCTGCCTTGAGGCACTCTTATCCTCTCTTGTGTATTCCCACTGAACCATCATGTGGTACTGACATCCCCAGTCTTCCTAAATAGGTCTGAACTCATTCCCAGTTCATGAACCTCCCTAAGTAAGCCAGGAATACCTGTATAAAACTATTTTCCTAGTCAAAACAACCCAGTGTTAGCATAACTTAAGGATGTATAACGTTTGTTACATTTTGAAGGAAAATCAGCATATCATTTTCTTTTTTCTTTTGTTTTTTTAACCCTTCTTGTGGTTCTGTTTATTTGGAATGTAAAAAATTTTCATTAATGTTCTCAGACCACAAATAAAGTTGTACCTGCTGCTATTATTATTATATCTAATGCTTTACCAGCTATTATTTTGGATGCTAGATCAGGAGATCTGTTCTAACTATAAACAAAGAGGTGTTTTGGGAACATTGGGAGCTGCAGGCATCCTCCTTCCCTTATGATCAATAGCATGCCTCTACCATTTTGCTAATCTTCTCATCAGCACTTTATGTGCTGTTTTGTATTTTATCTTTAAACAAACAAACAAACAAACCACTTGGTAAATGCCCCAATGGTAAATGTGAGGGGCAAGGTGGTGGTGGGGAAGCTAATCCATTCCTGCTGAGATGATTGATGTTTATCCCACTGGATCATGGTGTATTGAAATTGAAGGAATCAAAATATAATCATTTATGTATAATCCAGCCATAGTTAATTCTTTCTTATTTGCGCTCTGTACTTGGCTCAGAGATAACTTAAAAGCTGACCAAGGAGAAAGAAAAAGCTTAGTTGTAACTTTAAATGAAGGGGTGGAGTCAAGATGGTGGACAGGCAGCAAAAGCTGCAAAGAGCTCCTCCAAAAGCAAACACTTTTTATTTATTTTTATTCTTATTTTAATTTTTAACTTTTTAACCCCTTTTTAACATTACATTTTTAACCTACCTGTTGTGTCCTGAGCCTGCAAAAGCAGGCTCGGGACATTGCTATGGTCCTGGGCATTTGCAAGCTGCCTGGGACCAGACTGAGCGGCGCCAGCCTTGCGCGCATGCGCGAGGCGTGAAAGCGCGCCATTCCCTGTAACCGTTTTGCCCGGGGATCCAGTCATGAGATAAGAGGCCTGCGAGTCTCTGAGTTCGTTGTTGGAGTGAGCAGAAGAGAAATAAAGAGTGTTGGTTACAGAATGCGTGCTCTTCATTTGCCATTAACTCAAGTACTTAACACTACCTATTTTACAGTTATTGGGACGAGGCAAGGAGGCAGCAGCAGCAGGCAAGTAGGCTCTCTGCTTTTAACCTAGATTAAACCAACTTATTGTTTTAATTTTCTTAATTTTAAACCTCTTATATTTTTGAAACTTTATGCAGTGTGGCTACTAACCCATTTAATCCATTCTCAGCTATATTTCAGCTACGGGGTAGCTATATTTTAGCTGTATTTTTGATATCCCGAGCTGGGCCTCAGCTATGGGAATGCCTTGCTGCTGCTTTTGTTGTTGCTATTTAGGTTTTCTGCTTTGTCAGGAAACCTAGTATTCTCTAGTTTTGAGTGATTTTTATTTGATCTATTTATCTACTTACTATTTTTTACCATTTTTCTTTTTACTACTTTCTTTTTACTATTTTACTATTTTGTGATTTTTATTCACTCCCTACTCCCTGCTTTGGCGGGAAGGTAAGATTCTTGCCTTACTTGTGAGGAGCCTTGTTATTGTTTGCATCGGGACTTGCTTTTTCTTGACTCTTGGCCCTTGGCTTCTTTTTTTAGATCCAGGACTTGTCTTGGAGATTAGTCTCTTGTTATATTACACTGATCCTCCCTCATTGTGTTTTTTAACACAGTGAAGTCAAAGAAAAGGTGCAGATCCCTTACTGACCTGGTTCCTCAACCTTCTTTGAAGCAATCTAAGATGGAAGACTTTGTTTTGGCTTGGCCTCTTTGTTTGAAAACTCCAGCTTCTTTTTTTCTGGCTCCTGCCAGTCATGGCAATCCTTCGATGGCTGAGGGTGTCGCCCCTTGAGTTGAGAACAAAGGCTCCCCTAAAGCTACCATTCCCAATCTATCTTTAAACGAGCCCACCCTTACAGAACTTCTGGCTCAGCAATGTTTCCTGGTCACAAATACAACAGCGAGCATACAGCTCCAGCTTGATAAAATAATAAGTACCCTAAATTATTTAGTTTCTTGGGTTGCCAGTGGTAGTGCTGGGCTGGCCGCTTGGCTTCCCGATGCGGTAGCAGGGCCTCCCTTGTCAAGCCTCAGTAAAAGATCTGCTCAATGTAATACTATCAATAGTTCAAACTCTATTTCCCTAGATGCAAATAGTCACCTGGTTTTACAGCCAAAACAGGTGGCCCTAAATATCAATCCTATTAATGGCTACTTGCCATGCTAAGGCTCAATACGGCTGGCAAAGGATTATATACTACAGTTATTGGGGTTGGAAGCTGATGATTTGAAGAAGGTTGAATTTTTACCCTCCTCTACATACTGCACTCGAGTGTTACTTAGTTTTGCTAATTCTAACACCCCTAAACTATTCTTCAGGAGAAGATCTCTACTAAGGTCTTTCGGCAAGAAGAGTCTTCAAAGATATATTGACTAAGCCTCTTTTAAGCAATTGACCACTTGTGAGTGTTAGGAGATTTACTGCCCCTAAAAGATCTTCAGTAGCACATGTTAATGTGTCAACCTTGAACGTCATCTCTGATGTTAGTCCATCTACCAAATATACATCTATGTTTCTAAAATCTCCTGATGGCGCTCCCTTTGATGGGGTTTTGACTGATTTCTCTACTGTCAATCAAACCAGCCCCCTTCAGCCAGTAACATCTCATTAGGATTCTTGCCTTCAGGAAGTGACATCAGCCCAGGGTACTCAAGGCTTCTTAGCGAATAAGCCCCAGGCCAGTGACTCTGGGATTCCATCTATTCATGTGACTGATTTATCTCAAGATAATTTCTGGAATCAGGAGGAGATACAGCTCTTTGACTCCTTTCCTGCGCTTCCACATTCAGAAAGGGCCCAAATTATTAAGCGTCTGGCTGCAGTTAAAGCCAAGCTTTGGAGTCTCTCACTACCTGACAAAGATTTTCCTGGATTTCAGGGAGCCCATACTGACATCAGTGGAAGTTCCCCCGGCCCTTTCTCCAGGTTGTCTAACTCATCAATATGAAGATCTTGGGCTCCCTCAGACCTTGTCTGCTGATGCCACTGAATGCCTGCCAGCCAAGTATCTAACTAATGCTACAAGTACAAACTGGAGTGCGTTTAGAGTCTTACAGCCCCATGAACAAGGTTCGCCTCCCTTCCCCTCCTTCCCTGCCTTTATCTCCCATGAGGGTAACACTGCCTTTTAATAACGGGTGTATCTTTTTGGACCAGAAGGGCTCCCTTGAAAAAATTAATCAGATAGAATGACTATCAAATCTGGCAACCCCCCTCTGTACTCTTAAATGTCTTTTGTGGAATATAGCAGGTTGGGGGAGAAGGTGTGGTACTATAGAATTTACCAACTATATTCAGGCATTTGATGGGGTTCTGCTTCAGGAGACTTGGGCATGTGATACGATATCCATTACACGGTTTATGGCCTTTTCCTTGACCGCCATCAAACAATCAGCGACGGGAAGACCCAAGGGTGGCTTGGCTTGTTTGGTCTCTACCTCTTTAAAGGTGGAGATAGTGGAGCTGTCCCTCTGTGGCTCTTTAGCGATGGCGCTCCTAATTAAGAGAGGACACAGCGAATTGCTAGTGTTTAACGTCTACCTTCCTCCGACGGTGAGGCAAGCTGACATTAAGGCTCAAGAAATCCTTCAGGCAATAGGTCATCAGATTTCAGCTAGACACTCTAAGGATGAAGTAACAAATTTTGCTGGTATTCAGTTAGCACTTTTAACATCCCAACATGATAAGGTAATTCTTAACGGGAGTACCCCAGGCGGTCTAGTTGGTGAATTTACTTTTAGTTCCTCACGTGGGAGTAGCATTATTGATTTTGTGCTGGTTTCTCAGTTGTTAAGAAAGGCAGTCCATGCTTTCTATGTGGACTGCCGCACGGAGAGCGATCATTACCCCCTGGTTACAATTATTGGGCTTTCCTCAAACATATACTTATCTAAAGGCCCCCAGATATTGGAACCCCATACGGCCTTCTATACAAAGAGGATCAAATGGTCTTCTAATACCGAAAGAAAGTTCCACTCCTTTTTATCATCTCCAGAAT